AGCTCAATTTTGCTGGATCTTTGTCCACCAGCTGTCCTGGCTTTGTGGCTTTTGCAGTTCCCATCAGATATGGCTGTGCAGGAGGGCAATTGGTGGATTGCAGTTTCCTCCAGATTGAAACATTCTGCCCTGGAGAAGAACTCCTAAAGCAATAAAGTAAACAACTCAAAACAGCTTAAGAAAGCCGGTCAAAGAGACCAGACTCCTGGCATTGGCGGCCCACGCCTTTAGTTCTTGCACTCAGCAGGCAGAGGCAGGAGGATCGCAGTGTGTTTGAGGCCAGCCTGGCCTACAGAGTGAGTGCCAGGGTAGGCTCCAAGGCTACATAGAGAAATCCAGTCTCGAAAAACAAAAACAAACAAACAACCCCCAAAACAAAACAAACAAAAATAAATAACAAAGACCAGGCTCATTAGGCTCCTCCCTCCCAGGAGGAAGCAAAGGAAGACTGCTGAGAGTCAGTCGGGTAAGACAAGCTACACAGAAGACTGAGAACAGGGCAGTTGCCTCCAGGGGTTCAGACCCACTGAGTCTCTTGGAAAGAACACTTTCCAGACTGTTGAGCTGCTGGCAGGCCATGCAGTGTGCTCCAGGTTACCAGGGTTGGGGGCTGTCACTCATGCTGGAGAAGGCCTTGGGGAATAAGTCTTGGAGTCATTTCTCCTCCTGTAAATAACCCCTCATCTATATTCTTGGTTTACCATGTTGAACTTTGGTGGTATCTGTACTTTGATCTGTCATTGGTCCCCTGTCTGAGTAAGTAGCTTCTCCCCAGGAAAAGTTTGTCACATAGGAGCAATACAAAGGAGATGGAGGGAGAAGGATAAATAACACTAAGGATGTTTGAAAAAGCCACAGGGAAGCATATTATTTTATACTTCTCTAAAAATATATATGTATGCTTCTGAGCAGTGGTGGCACACACCTTTAATCCCAGCACTGAAGAGGCAGAGGCAGGGGGATCTCTGAGTTTGAGGCCAGCCTGGTCCCTGTGTAGCCAGGGCTAACTTGTCTCAAAAAATGTGTGTGTGTGTGTGTGTGTGTGTGTGTACACATGTATAGTTTAAATGAAGTTATACTATAGTATAACTTTTATAGTAATGCTCCCCCTGAGAACCATAAACTATGACCAAAATTGCAAGATATCCTTGTGATGGAAAAATTAATAACTAAAAGTTATAAAATTAGGGCTTATGGCACGATGGGAAAACTAGACAGAGCAAGAATTTCTGCCAGTAGATAACTCCCTGACTACAGAGTACAGAGCCCACATTCTGTTCTCAGGAGATAAAGAAGAAAGCCAGAGCCTACCACCAGCATCCTCCCTGTGCCATTATCTTGAGAACAAGGCCTTCCGACCTTGTAAAGAAACTTTGTACTCTGTAAAATCTCTGTAACCTTAGAAACTTTGTGAGCTGAGACTAATGGTCTCTCAAGCCTCCCTTTCCCTTTTCCCTTTTAAAAACACTTCACAATTGTAAGCAGGCGCCTTGCTCTTCCGATAGAGGGAGGTCCTAGCCGGCTTGGTTCTTGGGAATAAAAACCTTTTGCTTTTGCAGTCGGGAGTCACTTCCTTGGAGGTTGAGGAAACCCGGTAGGCACAACAAAAGGCAAATACTGGCATTTATAACCTGGGGGTAAACGAAAGATGTCTAATTGAATGAAATTCATTCCAGGTGCTGTAAACCTAGCCCATTGCCCATGGCTAATGAGGCCTTGGACCCTAGAAGAAAACTCATCCTTTCCTACCAAGTATAATTCTAACCGTTCTTAATATAGCTCTAACCCTTCAGCAAAGAAGCTTCTTTTTGAAACAGAGAGAATTGTTACAAAACTCCACAATTGGTAAAAGTGCAGAGAACAACTGTCATGTGGTGCTCAACACCAACAGCACAACTCCTACACCTAAGGCTCAGAGAGTAGTCCGATGTACAGCAAGATACTGCTTTCTATATTTAACAGGGAAGCTACATTAGTGAAACCTCAGCAGTATGGTCTCTTCAATAACAACAGATCCAGTTGGCATGGAAATGTAGATGGGAAATCTTACAAGGCTCCACCGAGATGAAGATCTACAGATAATTAAATGACTTCGTTGAGGGAGAATCCATCTTCTCCAGGGATAAGTCCTTTGATGGGTTACATGTATATGTGTGTGTTTATAATAATATTGTATTTATGTATGTGTGTCAAAGAGGTTATACATTTGAGATGACGTCAAGGAGACATAGGAGCAATTAGAGGAAGAAGAGGGGAGGTTTAAATGATGTAAATCCAGCACTCCTATATGAATTCTCAAAATAAAAATGAAAAAGTAGTTAATTGGATTATCAATGAGTATAGGAATGTGTGAGGAAAAATTAATAAGTAAAAGATACGGGAGTCATGTCAAGAAGAGAAAACGAAAAAGAACAAGTGCTTCTGCCAATAGATATAGATAATTCCCTGACTGGAGAATACATTCTCCCTGTCCCCCATTATCTTAAGGACAAGGCCACTGAGCCTGCCAGTCCTAGAGAAAGAAAACTCCCTAACCTTGCAGGTGGTCTAAACAATCCAGCCTTGTAAAAACTATGTACTCTATGAAATCGCTGTAACCTTGGAAACCTTATGGGCTGAGACTAGCAATCTCAAACTTCCCTTTCCCTTTAAAAATGCTTCACAATTGTAAGCAGGCACCTTGCTTTTCAGACAGAGTGAGGTCCCAGCCAGTTCGTTTCTTGGCAATAAAAACCTTGCATTTGGGGGTCATTTCTTGGAGGTTGAGGAAACCTGGTAGGCACAACAAGTACAGTATTGTTTTTGGCATTGTAAAAGGGCACATTTTATTTATAGCTGGCAGTAATTGCTAATGCCTGTTAGAAGTTCAAATTTTCTTGGATTTGGTCTCTAGTACTGAAGAAACAGAAAAAAGTACAAAGTGAAAAATCTTTGATGGGTAACTGAATTTCTAGTAACTCATGTTTCAAATGCAGTTGTATAACACACATATATACATATATATGCATATACAGCTGCAAGACATTTACATACTAGTGAGGAAGGAACTAAAATGGTTTTTACTTAAGCAAAGTTAGTGGAGTGGGTCGAGGGGATATACATATATGTATTCTTCACTTTTCAAGTAGTATGGTGGCTTAAATCATAAAAAGAATAAATGTGACCTTTAACTAATACAATAGAGAATATTAATTTTTTCAAAACATGGTAAGATTTTATAATTAACCATATCCAGGCTATTTATTTCTAATTTGAGGACAGCAAAGTCAAATATATTAAGTGGCTTACCTGAAGATGGATGTCTGGTTAAAGTTACCTATGTCCATGATGCCTCATCCGTTGGTCTTTGGAATACAACATAAAATTTTGTGTGTGTGTGTGTGTGTGTGTGTGTGTGTGTGTGAGAGAGAGAGAGAGAGAGAGAGAGAGAGAGAGAGAGAGAGAGAGAGAATGAAGGATACTTTGTTTGACTTTTCTGCTTGGAGAAGATATACACAAGGTCTTTCTTTCCATTACACTGTAGAACATGAGTTAGAGAAACACACTTCCAGACTCGCCATGTATCCCCGATCAACCCATTTGGCTTTGTATCCTGGCAACTGCGTGTCAACCCACAGGAGTATTATGGCAAAGGGTGCCGTTGCTATGGATCCATCCCAAAAGTTCAGTGACTAAGTCTGTAGAGCATTATCCGACCAGCATTGCTAGTCTAGCTCTGATGGAAATTCAGCAATGTTTACAATTTTTTGGATGTCAGCCTGAAATGCTTATTACCCCATATTCTGCTGCCCAAATAAAAGTTTTAATTGTCTCATTAGATGAATGGGCTATTTTAAAATGTAGTTTTGATGGAGATATAGATAACCACTATCCCAAGCATCCCATTTTGAGCTTTTTTAAGGAACATCATGTTACTTTCCCAAAAGTTACCCGTAAAGTACCCATTGAGGGTGCAGTAACCATTTTTGTAGATGGCTCTAAGACTGGGTGCGGCGTGTATGTAATTGGAGAAGCTGCCCCAATTATCTGTCAATTTATGCCAGGCTCACTTCAAATAGTGGAGTTTCAAATAGTGTTAGAGGTTTTTAGGAAAGTTTCTGAAGCCTTCAATTTAATTTCTGATTACAATTATGTTGTTAATTTGGTTAAAGATTTGGAGGTAGCTGGGAAAATAAAACTAACAGCTCTATTCAGCCACATGTAACCCAGCTACAAGATCTTATTTGGAAACGTTCGCAACCCTTTTATATCCAACACATTAGAGCGCATACTGGATTGCCTGGACCAATTAGTGAGAAAAATGAATTAGTGGATAAGTGTACCTGGATGCATTTTATATTTGCCTCTCTCCCAATTGATAGAGCTCAGCAATTTCATTCTCAATTTCATGTTAATTCGAAGACCTTGCAGCATCGCTTTGGGATATCCTGTGCAGCCGTTCACGATATAGTTAAAGCTTGTAAAAATTGTGTAGTGTATTTATATCTGCCTACTTGGGAGGTTAATCCCAAAGGATTGGCCCCTCTTAGAATATGGCAGATGGATGTTAGTCATATCGCTGAATTTGGCACATTAAGGTATGTGCATGTCTCTGTGGATACATGCTCAGGAGTGATACATGGAGAAAAGGCAAAAAATGTAATTACCCACTGCTTAGAAGCTTGGGCTGCATGGGGTATGCCGCAGCAATTAAAGACTGATAACAGACCAGCATATACTGCTGCATCTTTCTCTGCATTTTGCAAGCAAATGCAGATAGATTTGAGACATGGTCTTCCCTACAACCCACAAGGTCAAGGCATTGTTGAATGAGCTCACCTAACTTTGAAGGAATGCTTAATAAAACAAAAATGGGGAATAGGCCAAGGCTGCAACCCCAAAGAGAGAATATCTCTAGCTCTACTGACTCTTAGCCCCCAAAGAGAGAATAACTCTAGCTCTACTGACTTGCCACACCAGCCCCAGTGGAGACAGTGTAGCAATGGCTGAGAGAAATCTCAATGGCTACCTGTCCAGAGGTTCGCACCACGTGGTTACGCCTCCTGGGGAAAAGTGGTTCAGGACCCTGCAGGTGATTGCTCGACTGAAGGTCTGGAACGGGTGCTAGGTATATATTGTGCTATGATAGCTTTAATGTTTTTGATCATGGGTGCTTTGGCCTGTAGCTCCATTGTTAATTCAGAGAAGCCCAGAAAACACTTAGATATAGTTTCAGGAACAGAAAGAGATACAGACCAGCAATCAACTACAAATCCCAGGGCGCCAGTGAAGACTTCAGGTGTCAGCCCAAGGCCTAATAAATTAACATACCTAAAGCTATAGAAATTTGCCCACAAGATGACCCTGCCTAATTAGCCCACCCACAGCAAAGCTGTTGTGGGATTTACTACTGAGATTTTAGGGTCCCTAAATCAATAAAACAGTACAAGAGTTCTTATCAATGCTGTTAAAAGTTTACTGACGAGAGACAATGATTATTCTCTAAACTCAGTAAATCAAATCCCTGGTAAACTGACCACAAGCAGGCCAAAATAAACATGAGATGTATTTACAATCTCATGCTCCAAAATAATTGCTGACATTTCTATAGTATGTCTGTAAGTTTTAAACTGTGGCCAAAGATCTGTTCCTTGAACTTTCTGCATAAAAATCTGATGCTCTGAAGTAAAAATCGCTGCAGTTGCAAACCTCCTCGAGTGTGTTTGTGTCTGTCTGTCAATCCGAAGCTACTCCTGACCTGTTCATCCGAGTCTTGGTCTCCCCGCAGACCTGTCGCCCACTGAAAGGTCTGTGGCACTGACTCTTAATTTTTTTCAATTGGATGTGGATGGGCGTTCAGCTGCTGATCACCATCACAGTGTCCTCCCCACTGATAAGGGATTTGTAAAATGGAAAGATGTCATTTCTGGACTATGGAAGGGTCCTGACCCTGTGTTATCATGGGCAAGAGGGTCTGTTTGTGTTTATCCACAGGATCAGTCAGACCCTCTGTGGATTCCTGAAAGACTGACCAGGAGAGTTCCTGCCTCTGAAGATGGCAAGGCACATAAGCAGAGTGATGCATCTGATGCTGACGATCATGTTGATGGTACTGGTCAACAAGATGGAAGCATATCCACGATGGGGGATCCTGTCAGTGTTTCCTAAACCCATGCCAATTAGGCATTCTGCCCAAGTTTTTCCCAGATTATTTAGTAGCAATTTAAGTTTAAATTTACCTTTTTTTTGCCTTTAGATAAGGATATTAGTCCTGTAGAGGGAAATGTTAGTTTTGCCCTGGGAGGGATGTAATGCGGTAAATAAGGATCAGGATAAACAAATAGGCCGAATAGATGTTTATTCAGGGAGAAATAACTTACAACCTAGACAGATGAACACCAGGAAATTCAACCCGATCCTCTCCTGTCCGAGTCATGCCAGAAAGAGAGCGCCTTCCTCGCCCCCTCCGACCTCCTTCCTCAGGTCACCTCCGCCCATCGCTCCACCCCCAATGGGCGTGGTCAGTGCTACAGAAGGACTACCTCACTACAATTCCCCTTTTAGTCTAAAGAAAAGATTTAGGCTTAATACAAAACTATATACAAAACAGTGAATAACAAGTGTGCTCTAAGAAAAGGAAAATCGAGAACAAAATGACCTACATATCTAGTCCCAGGGTGAGGGCATAATGGAGTTTACAATAGAGTTGTCCTAAGCTGGAAAACGTAAGTCTAGTACCTAATATATCTAACTAGGAAGAGAGAATAATAGTTGTGATAGTTTAATCTTCAACCTCATCAAGACCTGAGAAGGAAAATAACAATACTAGAGTAGACAGGAAATGCGGATGGACAACTTCCAAAAGGTGAAGCAAGGACAGAAACAGCAAGCCACCTGAACAGTCATCCTAGGTCTCACAGCGACGTTGGTACACCCAGATTTGGCTAAGGCCAAGAGAACTTGACAGACCACAACAACAGCAGGGAAATAGAATGGCTGTCTTACCCTGACTTGGCAAGGTCAAGCAGTCTTTTATATTTGTCTCCTGCAAGCACATAGGACTGCATGTCCAAATCAGTGGTCAAGGTGGGGGCAATTCTATGCCCAACAGGCCATTATCCTTCTGTAGCACTGACCACGCCCATTGGGGGGTGGAGCGATGGGCGTGGTCAGTGCTACAGAAGGACTACCTCACTACAGGGATGCTTATCCTAGTCAGTCTCATTGCTTAATGGTGTATCTGCAGGATGAGGGTTACACAGCAGAGAAGTAATGCCATGATTGCACAAGCCTTCGCAGCCCTGGAGGCAGGGCAATCATCTCAGGCTTGGTTAACTGTGCTTAAAAGCTAAGCAGTCATCACGCTCAGGATGCAAGACGTAGTACTGCACTTGAGGCCAGCTTCTAGCAGCTTCATGGAGGGCAAGTCTGATTGCATATGGGTTGGTATCGTAATCCCATCTCTGAGAAAAGATACCGGACAGGTGTGGCACCAGCTTGGCTGATAACTGGGCGTGGGGCCATTACAATGTCCCTTGTTCATCAGAGATCAGACCTCTACCCTTGCCTGTTGCTTTTTAAACAAAAAAGGGGGAACTGTGGGAAGCCACAGCCCCAAGGTGGAGCCTGGCTAGATGCCAGGTAGTCCGAGCTTAGCTGTAAATAAGCCTTATTTGGAAGTGCTTGATGGATCTGGTGGGCTTCCTCCTTCTGTGGCCTATCTGGGATCACCAGGTGGCATGAGCTGATTGGGCAGTGAGCGCATATTTAAGGGCTTGCAGGGGTTGGGGGAGGTAGAAGCTGATGTACAAGGTTCCTGAATAAACTGCTTGAAGAAGAGTCGTGGTCGTGTTTCCTTGCTGGTCGAGTTAGGCGTCACACACACACACACACACACCCTATTGCTGTCCCATTTCACGGAGATCCTGCTGTTTTGGATCTGTAGGTTTGTCCCCCTCACATGCTCCAACAGTTCATAGATTTGGTGGATACGGGGGTAAGCCAACTCATACCCCTGTTTCTGGGCTTGGGTAGTAGCTGGGTTTGTCAGCCTGCTAGCTTTCCTCATCATCACTATCCAGGCAAGTTCTCTAGCACTGCCTCAGCATGATCCAAGTCTTGTATATTCTTAGATATATTTTAAAGGTTAATCCTAAAACAAGTAACTAAAACAAGTAAAGCTTGTTTAAGGTATACTTTGTGGGGAACCCCAGGGCAAAGTTAGCATCTTAACAGCCATCTTTCCTACTACTCTCTTAGATACTAACATACTGGTAATTTTCCATTATCCTATGACTGTTCTCCTGTTAAGCATATGGCACAAGCTGACCCTGAAAGAGTTTATCGTATAGCAACTTATCTTAATAGCAGAACACCTACATCCTGCATGTAAGGATATTCTGCCTTCCTCACATCCTCCTTCTGGCCCATGCCCTCATTTCTCCACTACTTAAACCCTGTGGTTATATTCATTAAATGAAATTGATCAGAATACTGTCTTGTCTCTATCTCTTGCATCCCTTGCCCCCTCATTCTCCCTCCCTTCCTCAGGGTCCCTGTAGACTGACCCTAAGGGCTGGCGAAATACTTAATAGATAATAGTCCTCAAACTCTTCAGAGATCTGAGGAATATGGTGTGTAATGAAAAAGCTTCCCATGAGAGAAATACCAGATCCTAGTGGCAACCCTAAGGTTTCCAAAGAAGGTGGATGGGGCACAATGAGTCTACCTGAACTGTACTATGCCTCGCCCCACTGCCAGGGCTCTGTCCACATGGTGAACACTGTTGGGTTGACTTCCCCTGCTCTGCCCTGCCACAGCAGGTCAGTTTTCCCAGGTTCCTTCTCCACAGGATAATTTCTCAGACTTTCTGGGTCTGGCAGCCAAAGACTGACTACTTCTGCTCCCACCATGGGAGCTATATAGTAAGTAGGTAAGTCTCTGTCATTTAACTTGACACATAGGTCATTTGGATTATACTTTCTGCTATAATTTGTCCTTAACAGATCTTTGATACTGATAGTTAACTTTAACTTTACATTAACAGCAACAAGAAAACCAGCTCCTTCCCCAAGTCTGAAGCTACCTTGTTAATTTATTTCATAGGTAATATCAGGTTCCAGGCCTCACTTTTCTAGATCTACAAGGTCTGTTGAGAAAGGCAAATACAGACAGTTCACCTGGCAGACTTCACTATGAAAAAGTCAAACTCACAAACTGGGCAGTGGTGGTGAATGTCTTTAATCCCAGCACTTAGAGGGGCAGAGGTAGGCAGAACTCTGAGTTCAAGGCCAGTTTGGACTACAGAGTAAGTTCCAGGACAGCCAAGCCAGGGCTACACAGAGAAATCCTGTCAAAAACAAAACAAAACAAACAACAAAAGCAACAAAATAGATGCACAAGACAGTTGTCAATATAACTTTTTACTATTTCTTTATTTAAAAGGAACTTGCTTTGTAAATGCTTTCAGTAATCACCCACTTGTATCTCATGATAAATGATTATGACTACGAATCTGTTTTATCTACAATGCAGATTTCAACCAGTGGTGATACTAATTTATCTAAAACTTTTCTCTCTTTTGGTAAACTTAAAAAATTCTTGCTGGGCAGTGGTAGTACATACCTTTAATCCTAGCATAGGGGGGAGGGCAGAGGCAGGTGGATCTCTGTGAGTTTGTGGCTAGCCTGGTTTACAGAGGAAGTAGGGCAACCAGGGCTACACAGAAATACTATCTTAAAAACAAACAAATTCTTGTAAGCTTCAGGAAGTCAACTTGGATTTACTTCTCACAATTCTAATGGACTCCACATAAGTACTTCTGTCAATCAAACCCATGTTTCCCCATATACTGCCTACGAAGGGTGGGTTCCCCTTTCCTTGGTTGTGGGACTCCTCTCCCCAACTACCAAGGCCATTGGCCTAAGAGTTTCAAATGTACACTGTTACTTATGACAAGAGAGGACCTTGGCAGGAAGCCACGCACTAGGTGAGGGGCAAGCACACAATGCAGACCTACCTTGTGTTCAAGTTTTACTGGGGGAAGAGAAGGGAGTAAGGAAATAGAAGGGATGTTGTGCCCAGACTCTGAACCCTCAAAACCACCAAGAGACCAGATCAGATGCAAAAGCAAAGAATCTTTATAATTACCGAGTTAACTGGAATTAACTCGGGTCCTCCATCTGTCCTACATAGCAGGTGAAACAAGAGGGACCCAGAGTAGCATTGGGGTAGAGCAAGGGGAGTATCTGGGGGTTCACTAGTTGCACAGCAACAGTCTCAGGATTGGTGCACCTCCAGGTGTGGGCAACCTGTCCTAAGTTGATTGGTCAGCTGCAGCTGCAGAAAGGTTGCTAAGCCTAGAGGCCATCCCAGGGCAGTTGTTAAACTCTTCATTCCTGTTATCAGCAAAGCACATCCAGAGCCCTCTAGCTAACTTCTGGTTAGCTGGTTGTTTCCTAGTGATTAGGGCAAGGTTGGGAGCTCAGCACATGTTGCTGAGTCATAGGCCTATGTCTTGCTGGGTCTTTTCTACAGCCTGTCGTGGCTGCCGAAGCAGGGGGCTGAGTGAGGGTCTGGGTCCTCCGGGGAGAGAGGGGAAAGAAAGTGAGAAAGGAGAGAGAGAGAAAGAGAGAGGGAGTGACTCAGTGTTGCTAGATCACATGCTGGGAACAAGGGGCAGACAGACAAGGAAAGAGAACAGGGAGAAAGAACAGGCAATGTGGGGTATAGGGCACACATTTCCAACTACTGAATCACTGGCAGAATGTTGTAAATGTCCAGTAAAATGTCAGGATGGGATAAGCAGTCATGTCATCTGAGGGGGCAGGTACTGGGGTAGGCACATTTTCCGTGAGCTAAGTAAAGATAGGGTCCAGAGGCTGTACTCCAGTGTCTCAGAAAAGCAGTGTGAACTGAGGCATGGGCTGTGGGGAGTGGGTATGTGCGTGCTGCTCTACATCGTTACACAGAAAGGGGACCAAGGGACCCTGAGCCCAAAAGACATGTGGATGCCCAGCCCTGGGGATTTAAAAAGAAGTCAAAAGGTAAAAACCACATTCAGTCACAAGACAAATCCTCACTCATGAGAGCATGGCCAGAGGTAGAGAGGAAGGGGCTTACTAGACAAGCTGGTGTTAGAGGTGGCATTTCAGTAGTCCTTAGTTGGAAAAGTGACTGGGTTGGAGATTTCAGGGTCCTGGTGCACCTTAGACTGGCAGTGGGCAGGAGGAAGTGCCAACTGAAGGAGAGTCTCTCACAGGACCAGTGGTATGATATGGAGCAAAGGGGACCTTGGTGGGAAGCTCCGTGGCAGGCAAGGGACAAACACACCATGCTCACTGAGCTTCTGTGGAAAGTTTTATTGGGAGTAGAGAAGGGAGTTGGGGAAGGGAAGGGAGAGAGAGAAGAAAAGACCTGCCTGCCTCTTCAGAGGAACAGCGGGAAGAGAGAGCAGAGAGGGGTAGTAGGCGGAGCTTGTCTCTTAAGGGGGGAACTTTTGTGCCTGCATAAAGAGCCAGGGTACTGCTTGCCATGCATACAGGGGTGATGCACTCTGCCAGTCTTAGATACTAATGAAAGACCCCCACTATGCATATTGCCTGTTTGAACTGCTTTTGCCAACTTGCGAAGGTCAAGTTATGGGAAAGTACAGGAGGGAACCAGGTGTTGCTCTCATCTGACGCCAACCAGATATCTGTGGTCTGCAGCTTGGACCAAAGCAAGGTCAGCAGGACAGTATTCGGGATGCTGAGATAGTCATAACTGAATTCTTTGTATTCTTTGTGCCCAACCCGAATAAACAACTCTGTCCTTGGTTAACTACAATCTCTGTATTTAGATGGACAAATGAAATCCCTGTAACCATGCTTCTGCTTCGGTAAGCCTCCTCCTTGCCACCCCAACCCTACATAAACTGCATATGTTTTAACCATGCCACACTTAGTCTCCCGAAAGACTGAAGCATCCACAGGTACCTGTGTGAGCAATAAATAGCCTCTTGTGCTTGCATCCAGTTGTCTGGTCTCATCTCTTGGGGCAAGGGCCTCTCCATGACAGACTCCGAACTCTTGGGGTCTTTCATTGGAGGTCCCACCGAGATTGGAGACCCCTCCCCGGAGACTGATACTGTGCCCACCGGGAGGTAAGCTGGCCAGCATTTGACTCCTTGTTCTGTGTGCTCTGTTCATGTCCTCCGTATGCCATTTCGTTCTGGTAGGTGGCTTGAGAAGGAGCTGACAGGCTCAGACTCCTCCCCTCCCCCCCCCACCGCCACCCTGGGAGACATCCCAGGGATTTGGGGCACCCTATTTTTCGGGGCCCGCAATGAGTCCAATGGATTCTTTGTTTTGTTGGGGACAGGGGGCTTAAAGCCTTCAGTGCCTCCAGCTCAGTATCTGGTTTCAGTTTTACACTGAAGTCGCGCTGCACGTCTTGGTGCCGCCTGTCTGTGTGTTCTGTCTGTCTTGTCTATTTGCTTCTTTATTTTGAAAAAGACATGGGACAAACTGTAACTACCTACCCCTTTGAGTCTGACCCTAGATCACTGGAGCAAAGTCCAGGGCCGAGCGCAAAACAAGTCAGTTGACTTGAAGAAAAAGAGATGGCAAAACCTGTGCGCTTCCAAGTGGCCGACATTTAATGTTGGCTGGACCCAGGATGGGACCTTTGACCTTGGTATTATCTTGCAGGTGAAGGAACGAGTCTTCGACACTGAACCCCACCGACATCCTGACCAGGTGGCTTATATTGTCACCTGGGAAGATATGGCCTCTGACCCACCCCCTTGGGTGTCTCCCTTTGTCACCCCCAAACCCCCTTCTAAATCTCTCCCCAAGACTGATGTGGCCCCACCTTCACAGGGGCCCACTGCTCCCCCTTTGCCTTCTTCTGTACCACTCCAACATATCAGCCCCCTAGCCAGGGCACTGAAGGTGGTGGCGACGACCAGCAAAGGGATCCGGACAAACCAGACAGTACCACTCCTGCCCTGGACAACAGACAAGAAGAGACTGCTGCGGACTCCCCAGTAGCCGGCAGACTCTGTGGCCGAAGGGAGCCAGCCATGGAAGTATCCTCCCAAACCTTTCCCTTGCGCCAGACTGCTGGACAAGGAGGCCAATTTCAATACTGGCCTTTCTCGGCGTCCGACCTTTATAATTGGAAATCTAACAACCCCTCCTTCTCCAAAGACCCTGTAGCTCTCTCTAACCTAATTGAATCCAACCTAATCAACTCACTTGGAATGATTGCCAACAGCTTTTGCACCTCGGAAGAAAAACAACGTGTCTTCCTGGAAGCCTGGAAGAATGTCTTGGGGGACAACAGGAGATCCACTCAGTTGCCTAATGAAATTGAGGAAGTTTTTCCCCTAAATCGTCCCGATTGGGACTTTAACATCGCTGCAGGTAGGGGACACCTACATCTTTATCGCCTGTTACTCATAGCCGGCCTCCGCGGTGCGGGACACTGCTCCAATAATTTGGCTCAGGTAACCCAGGGACTGGAGGAAACTCTGACTGCATTTTTGGAGAGGCTAAAGGAAGCCTACCATATGTATACACCCTTTGATCCTGATAGTAATGAGCAAAGGGGAAATGTTTCTATGGCTTTCATTTGGCAGTCGGCTCCAGATATTAGGATTAAGTTGCAGAGACTAGATAATTTACAAGATTATAGCCTGCAGGATCTTGCAAAGGAATCAGAAAAAAACTTTAATAAGAGAGAGACACCTGAAGAGAAAAAAGAAGGACTCAGAAAATTGTAGGAGGAAAGAGAGGACAAATTAAAGAAGGAGCTAGAGGAGAGAGAGAAAGAGAGAGATCGTAGGAACCGGAGAGAATTAAGCAAAATCCTGGCCACTCAGAATAATCATAATGCAGGAAGTCAGGAAAGGAAGGGAGAAGAAAGGAAGCCCTAGGTAGATCGAGGCCAATATGCCTACTGAAAAGTAAAAGGCCATTGGGTCAAAGATTGCCCTAAGAGACCTAGAAATCAGAGGCATGGGGACGGACCCCAAAGACCAACTCAGCTTCTAGCCCTAGATGAAGACTAGGGTGGTCAGGGCCAGGAGGCCCCCCCCCCAGCCCAGACTAACCTTAAGAGTTGGGGGACAGCCAGTCACCTTCCTAGTAGACACTGGAGCCCAACATTCGGTTCTCACTGAAACGGACGGGCCACAAGAACCAAAACAGCTTGGGTACAAAGGGCCACCAGAGGAAAACAATATCGGTGGATCACGGAGAGAAAAGTTCACTTCGCATCAGGTAAAGTCTCACATTCCTTTTTTGCATGTACAGGACTGTCCATATCCATTACTGGGCTTAGATCTACTTCAAATATTGACTTTGCAATTGGAAAATGAATATAGACTTTTTGAAAAGCCTCCTGAGCAGCAGGAAGGAATGGACTTATGGTTAAAACAATACCCCCTGGCCTGGGCAGAAACAGGAGGCATGGGACTGGCCATACAACAGTCACCCCTAATAATACCCCTGAAGGCAACAGCCACCCCTATCTCTATTAAGCAGTATCCCATGTCAAATGAGGCATATCAAGGAATCAAGCCCCACATTACGAGACTATTAGACCAGGGGATCCTGATCCCTTGCCGATCCCCATGGAATACTCCACTTCTGCCTGTAAAGAAACCAGGAACCGGAGATTACAGGCCAGTCCAAGATCTTAGGGAAGTCAATAAGCGAGTGGAGGACATTCACCCCACAGTACCAAATCCCTATAACCTACTAAGCACTCTGCTTCCTACTCATCCCTGGTACACTGTTCTGGACCTAAAGGGTACTTTCTTTTGCCCAAGGCTGAGCCCTCAGAGTTAGTCCTTATTTGCCTTTGAATGGAAAGATCCAGAACTGGGCATTTCAGGGCAATTGACTTGTACACACCTACCCCAGAGGTTCAAAAATAGCCCCACTCTCTTTGATGAGGCCCTTCACCAAGACCTGGCAGACTTCTGGATCAGGCATCCATCTCTGATCCTACTACAGTATGTGGATGACCTCCTCCTTGCGGCCACCACTAAGCAGGACTGTAAAGCAGGTACTGAGGCCCTATTACGAACACTATGGAACCTGGGGTACTGAGCCTCTGCCAAAAAGGCCCAAATATGCAGACAGGAAGTCATCTATTTGGGATACAAGCTAATGGATGGGCAAAGATGGTTGACACCTGCCTGCAAAGAAACCATATCTCGCATACTCATCCCCAAAAACCAATGTCAGCTTAGGGAATTTTTTTGGGACTGCAGGCTTCTGTAGACTCTGGATTCTGGGGTTCGCAGAGATAGCGCCCCCCCTTTACCTGCTAACCAAACAAGACACACCTTTTGACTGGACTGAGGAACAACAGCAGGCTTTTGATGCTATCAAGCGGGCCCTGCTGTCCTCACCAGCCCTGGGCTTGCCAGATGTCACCAAGCCTTTTGAACTCTTTGTTGATGAAAAACAGGGCTATGCAAAAGGAGCCTTAACCCAAAAGTTAGGACCCTGGAGATGGCCCATTGCCTACTTTTCCAAGAAATTAGACCCAGTTGCATCAGGATGACCCCCATGTCTCCGAATGGTGGTGGCGATTGCCATCCTAATCAAGGATGCCACCAAACTGACTCTGGGACAGCCAATGATCATACTGGCGCCACACACAGTTGAGTCCCTCATCCATCAGCCACCAGATAGATGGCTATCTAATGCCCGTCTAACTCACTATCAATCCCTGCTCCTGGTTGTAGACAGGGTCCAGTTCGGGCCAATAGTAACCCTGAACCCAGCCACCTTGCTACCGCTGCCGGAGGGACCAGCATCCCATGACTGTCAGCAGATTCTTGCATAGATGCATGTGACGCGGCCTGACCTGACCGATCAGCCCCTTGAAGGATACGGACTACACCTGGTTCACGGATGGCAGCTGCTAAATGGTGAGAGACGGGCAGGGGCTGTTGTGACAGATGCTACAAAGGTCATATGGGCCACTGCACTCCCAGGAGGTACCTCTGCTCAGCAAGTCGAACTCATTGCTCTGACTCAGGCTCTCCAGATGGCAGCAGGTAAGAAGCTTAATGTATACACTGATAGCCGACATGCCTTTGCCACTGCCCATGTCCATGGGGAAATTTATCAGAGAAGGGGCCTTTTAACATCAGAAGGCAAAGAAATTAGAAATAAAAATGAAATCTTGGCATTATTAAAGGCCCTGTTCCTTCCCAAGGAATTGAGCATAATGAATTGCCCTGAACATCAAAAGGGGGGAAAGCCTAGAGGCAAAAGGAAATCGCCTGGCTGATGAAGCAGCCAAACAAGCAGCCTTGGGCCCCCAATTATTGACTATATCCATATATTGACTGAAAAGGAGACAGCTAAGGCTCCAGATTGGGACTATGATGAAACGGATTTGGACATTGTTCAGAAACTAGGTGCAGATTATGACCCCAATCGACAGTGCTGGGTCTACCAAGGAAAGACTATGCTGCCTACAAAAATGGCAAGAATACTGATAGTCCATAAACTGATTCATCTGAGTGCCATAAAGATGAAAACTTTGTTGGATAGGCAAGAAATTGGAACTTACCTACCTTCCCAATCAGAATTTATTACTGGAACAAGTAACTGTCAACTGTCTGGCCTGTGCCTAGATCAACCAAGGAAAAACCAAACTGGATCCCAGGACCGGGCTTCGCGGCTATAGGCCTGGTGTCCATTGGGAAATAGACTTTACTGAAGTCAAACCTGGCATGTATGGTTATAAATATTTACTAGTTTTCATAGATACCTTTTCAGGATGGGTGGAAGCGTTTCCTACCAAACATGAGACTGCAAAAATGGTTACCAAGAAAAACTCTTGGAAGAAATCTTTCCCAGATGTGGGATGCCACAGGTAATAAATAGGATCAGACAATGGGCCTGCCTTTGTCTCCTGGATAAGTCAGCTGGTGGCCAGGTTGGTGGGGATAAATTGGATATTGCATTGTGCTTACAGACCCCAGGGTTCAGGACAGGTAGAAAGAATGAATAGAACCATTAAGGAGGCTTTATCCAAATTAACGCTTGAAACTGGCTCTAAGGACTGGGTACAACTCCTACCTCTGGCCCTCTATTGGGCCAGAAACACTCCAGGCCCTCATGGCCTAACTCCCTTTGAAATTCTAAATGGCAGTCCACTGACAGCTGTATCATTCTTTGATGCCGATATTTCTGACTTTGCAAACACCTACTCCATGCAGGCGCACCTCTGGGCCTTACAGATAGTTCAAGAAGAGGTCTGGAAACCTCTAGCGGCCGCATGCTGGGAAGAATAAAGAAACCCTTGTCAGCCCCACTCTTTCCAGATTGGCGATTCCATCTGGGTTTGGAGGCATCAGACTAAGAACTTGGAGCCCCACTGGAAGGGCCCCTACACTGTGCTCCTGACAACTCCCACCCCCTTGAAAGTAGACAGGATTGCTACCTAGATCCACCTGTCCCACGTGAAGGCTGTACAACCAGAACATCGGACCCAGGACCAGGCTCCACTTGAACCAACATGGAAAGTTCAACGCTCTCAAAACCCCCTAAAGATAAGACTTTTACGTTCCTAGTGCTAGCAAGTATGCTTTTGTACATAGATTTGGATGCATCTAAAGCGGGATCTCCCCAGCCCCCTCCCCCCAACTTGACCTGGCAAGTGATTTCCCAAACAGTCTGGTCAACCTCTGGCCTTTACCTGGCACCTGGTAGCCTAGTCTCACCCCTGAATTTTGCCAACTGGCTGCTGGATTGGACACTTGGGACATCCCCACTTATGGTGCAGACTCCCTTGAAAAAGACATGCCTAGAACAGAAGAAGGATGGATAGGTTGTAGCAACCCCAAGACCCGATGTTATGTTTTCTAGTCCAATCAGACTTCTATGTCTATCCTCAGCCAATCCAGGGGGTTGGCATTTGGTCAGTTTCAGAGACTTCTGAAGCTATTTTGACTATTTTACCTTCCTGTTTAAAGAGCTTCCTTGCAGGATGGAACATTTCAACTTCCGATGAAAATGTTAAACAACAGTGTTATAGCACAGAATAGAAAACAAAGTAACACATTGTCTCAATGCTGGCTTTTAAGGCGTTTCAAGTTACTCTGTGCTTGTAGGCGCTGAAATAAATAACACAAATGTCTTACCTATGTATATCTTTTGATTGCTATCATATTTATAGTTCTTTACAGCTGGAAAATCAAGGGATTCTTTACAACAGAATTATTATATGATAATTTGTTCTAGAAAAGAGTAATAGCAGAGTAGATGTGCCCTATAACTCAAGTTTACCTCACTGTGTTGAGGTAAACAGTATGTGCTTACTTGGTTTGCAAGTACCAGGAACTGAGTTTCATCCCCGAAGTCCATATAAAAATTTTAGGTGTGATAGAATACACTTGTAGACTTATCTAGGGAGTCAGAGAATGGCAGAACCATGGGATTCACTGACCAGCAAGTCTTGTCTAGTCACAGACCCCCTTTAAAAAGTCAAAACTCCTGAGGAATGATGCCTGAGATTGACCTCTGGCCTACATGCACCTGCTTTATTGTTCCTTTATGAAATACAATGTGTAAGAAACCATAATGGCAGGGGGTGGGGGTGATTTGCTATGTAGGACATTCTAGCCTCAAATTTATATCAACCCTCCTGCCTCAGCCTCCCAAATAAACTACCAAGATCAGAGACAAATCTACTCTAAAAAGATTTTAAAATAAACTAGTTTTTAATTTTTATTTATTAATGAAGAAATGAAAATTTCTTCATTAAGTATGGGACATCATGTAATGCTGACTTGAATGCATATATTTATAATGAGAAGTAGTATTGAAGTAATTAAACCATAATATGAAGTTATACATTTTAATATAAAAATTTAACATGCCCTTTAAAGTCACAGACAGGTGGAGAGTATTTGTCATATTAATCCAAACTCAGGAGTGAAAGATTTTTCCCAGGCTGGGTGCAGTATCTGCTGGGCGTTGAGGAGAACTTCCTGCTATGCATCTGTCTGTCCCTGATCAAAATGTGGGGCATAAAATTGAAAATCAACAGATTCTGATTAGAATTTTTAGAAAAGTATGAGTAACAACATGAAAGAACACTCCTGCTATTTTTTTCCAGTATTAGAGACTCCCACGCATTATTGTCAATGAGAAATTAAACTCATTGATAATTAGACAAACAAATTAATCAAGATAGTTAACAAATCACTAATTAAAGTAAATAATGTCTTCTTTAAAGAACTTACTGTTAGGAAATGGAATGATCTGTAGGCAATGATCTTGGAATGGGCCAGGATCCTGTCAGGACCATGGTATTAAGTTTGTAAGCTACTAGGAGTGTTGTTTGCCTTCTGCATGTGGCTCTCAGCCAAAAGACTTGCAAAAGTTTGGATCCCTCTCCAAAAGCATCCTATATTTAAAGATTAGTCAATAATAAAGTAAAACAGCCTGTCTCCTTGCTTCGATTCAGATGACTGTGGACGGAAATCCCAGCAGAAGTCATGAAGGAGTGCTGCTTATTGGCTTATTCCACATGGCTTGTTCAACCCGCTTCCTTATAGCACTCAGGACCACCAGGCGAAGGCTGGTACCATCCATAGTGAGCTGGTCCCGCCCACATCAATCATCATTCAAGAAAAGGCAACAGGGCTGGAGAAAGGGCTTAGTAGTTAAAGCACTGGCTGCTCTTCCAGAGGTCCTGAGTTCAATTCCTAACAACCACATGGTGGCTCACAACCATCTGTAATGGTATCTGATTTCCTCTACTGGTGTGCATGAAGGCAGGTCACTCATATACATTAAATAAGTAAGTATGTTAAGGATTTACCCACACCACTGGCTTGTTCATGGCTATTGTGGCTATTTTCTCAGTGCCTCTAGCTTTCTCAAGCTGACATAAAACTAGCCGGCATAGTTCAATTATTCTCTTCCTCCCTTCACACCACAAGTTGTCTCACAGTATTGCAGGTGTTGTCCATAAATGGCACATATCAATAATTCTCCTGCGCACAAATCTTTAACTGGCAGTTCAGGGAGTCCAACACAAGGCCTTGTATTGAAAATACGATCAAAGTCTATTCATGTCTGAAAATGTTAGAATAAATCCATTAATTTGTACAATTTGTGTATACCAATTGAAATGTTTAAAAAAAAATAATGAGTTAATTCTCATCCTGGTGAGGCCAGTCCTCAGAGCTCCTAACTGAAAGACCAAAAAGTGAAGTTAAATAAAGGACAGTCTGACCTGGAAAGCTAACCAATATCTTTTCCTTGGAATTTGCTAGCTTCCTCTCACCAGGCCCTGAGATAAGAAGAATTCACACTGCCCCTCCTTTCCTGTGAGTCAACAGGTGGTGAATAGGGTCCTTAGGAAACAAAGAGAAAGCTGCAACTCGGGTTTGGCCAGAGAAAATTAATTAGCACATCCTGAGGCCCCAAGGTCTGCTGACCCTAATAGCAGACCATCCGGCCTCCAAGGGACACAAACTCAATGGACGGAGGGTCCCCACCCCCTCCCTAAGCTTGTGGGTTTGCCTTTAAAAACAC